AGGGTCGATTCAGGTCACATAAAAGCCTACCAATACAGCCTGACACATGATAGCTCAATCCAATCCCCACCATCATAAAAAACCTTGGTCTTACAAAAAAATCTTGAATGCCAAGGCTCTGTGAATATTTAATGATGACAGAAACACACTTCACAGACTGTGCATAACTTCTAATATAATGATATCACATTTATTTATATTTTAATTCCAGTTATACGTATGTATCTAATCTGACAATTTATATGAGAGTGATTCAGACTGTTATCACATCAAAGAGAGTCTTGATATAAAAACTTTATAATCACAGAGAGAAAATAACAGTAATAGTGAACATAACCTATGTAAGAACCATAACTTTACATCTTTAAACTGAAAGAAAGATATGGAAGATCATATGCCTTCACCAACTAATCAATGAAAAAAAAATAACAGGCAAATATACAAATTTAAGTGCCTAATTATTGCCCATGGTAAAATAGGATACTGATCAAAATATTAGTTCATATACAAAGCAAAGTTCAAAACATTGGTATTATTAGAAATAGCACATACTATCAATAAGATCTTCTCGGGCAATCAGCTGCGTTAGCTGGTTACCGTAGTAAATCGACATTTCGGGAACAAACTCTGTCCCCCAACTTCAGGGTTCTGATGTGACTGGATCCTCGAAAGTCACCTGTGTAACTGCCTGCTCGGGATCAGTGCACATGTCTGGACTCAGGCCCAAGGAGCTAGGGGGCGGAGACCCTGAAGATGGGGACAGAGTTTGTTCCAGAAACATCGATTTACTACGGTAACCAGCTAATGCGGCTGATTGCCCGAGAAGATTTTATTGATTGTACTCGCCGCAAAAGTATCAAATCCTATGGCACATACTATGTTTATAACATTTGTTAGATAGTATTTAAATTGTGTAACAAAATGGTTGAATTTCTAAAATTCTGTGAGACAGTTTATAAACAACTTTTAAGTTACAGTAATCACATGTCATTTGCATAGGCCAACAACAGAATGCTCTTGTTACACAGAGTGAGGATTTCATTGTTGATAGCACAGATAATCAATACAAGGATTAATTAACACATGGATTTCAAAATAAACCAACTCAATGGAGCAGGGTCTCTCTTGAGAAGCTAACAGACCACACAGTGAGATAAGATATTTCCTGCTGTTTATGGAACCTGAAAGTCCATTACTGCAGTCGCTAGAGCCAACCACAGGTCCCTATCCTAAGCTAGAAAAATCCAAATCACATCTTCAAACCTAAATTTCCTAAGAACAATTTTAATATTACCCCTCAATCTATGCCTAGGTTTTCTGAGTTATCTCTTCCTTTGAGGCTTTGAAACCAAAATTTTGAACTCACTTTCCGTGTCCCCATGCTACAAGCTACATGTCCCTTACATCTCATCCTCCTACATTTAATTATCCCACTAATGGAAGTAAACAGTACAAATTTTAGAGCTACTCACCATGAAATTCTCTACATCTTCCTGTCACTTCAACCACCTTAAGTCGAAACACTCTCCTCAGCTCACTGGTCTCAAACACCCTTAGTCTGTGTTATTCCCTTAATGTGAGAGACTAAGTTAAACACCAATACAAAAGAACAGGCATAATTGTAGTTTTGTATATTTTAATCTTTACAGTTTTAGATAATAAACAGGAAGACAAAAGATTCAGTACTGCATAGTAGCAAACATCACCAAAATTTAGTCTGCTCTTCATCTCTTCATAAATACAATATTAATTTGTGACCACCATTCTCAGATATTTGAACTTTGCCACATTTTCAAAGGACTTATGGTTAGTTTCATATAATGATTTTGTACTATAGATTGGTGGTGGGATATGGGCATATAATTACTTCTCTTCATCTCATGATGGGATATAAACAAATAATGACTTTTCTCTGCAAAACTTATAGACAAACCTTCTTACTAGCATCATGGCCTTCATTTAATATGATAATTATATTTTTGCCCAATCAATTAACACCATCTGCGTATGGCCTATTCAATTCCAATCCCTCTATGATTTCATGGACCTCTGAGATGGCATATTCTAAAGCAAAATTGAAAAGTAATGGTGAAAATCATTATCATATTGGAATAAGGTATTTCAACACAAGATCTACCCAAGTGCCAGCCAGAATTTAAATCAAAAGATTCAACAGTAACGGTATCACAACAGAACTGACAGAATGTCTCTATCTCTGAAACCATTAGTGTTGAAACACTGTTGTAAAAGTCCTTGAAAGAAAGATAAATTGCACAATTCTATTGTGCTATATTTTAGTTGTAATATATAATTTTCTCTAAACAGGCTATAGACTCCTTAACTAAATTAAATACAGGACATATAAATTAAAATGTAGAGTATTGATACTTCTCTACATGCTCGTCCTACACTGTAATAGGTTTATTTCGAAGGTTACTTTTGGACTGAAAACATGGGTATAAGAACAAGCCAACTTTGTATTCTGAGCATAGAAATTTTGTAGCCATTCTCTTCTTGTTCACATACAGTACTACAAGCATGATCCTGCAGTTGACCAATGTTTGGTCTGTTGAGCTTCAAGATGAGCTGCTTGATAAGCTTGTGGATTTCATCTTTGCTATAGGATTTGAGACTTTCGCGGAAAGTATAATCAATAAAATCTTCTCAGGCAATCAGCCGCGTTAACTGATTACCGTAGTAAACCAGTTAACGCGGCTGATTTCCCGAGAAGATTTCATTGTTCATCTTTCCTCTTCGGCTGGATTCAGGTCAGGGCTCCCATGGACTATTTCCAAAAACTCTCAACCAAAGTCAGTCAAACATTTTTGTGGTCTACTTGACTACCACATCATACTGGAATAAGATTACTAATCAATACTGTTAGATCCAACAGGAAACAAATAATTTATTTGTCCATTACCATGTTCTCTGAATAACTGAATAGCTATAAGTCACTCTTTCATCTTTGTAGACACAGACAATTTCTTGACTACAGTCTTCAACAATGGCTGGTTTGTGTGCTCTGCTGCATTCACTAAGTTTCCTTCTGTTGGTAGTGCATGCATATTTGTCAGCATGCACACATCTCACTTGTCTTTTCAAACTACTGCTATTAAGATATCTTTTGCCCCAGCAAGCACATCACCCTGTTCAAATTTTAGTGTCTTACGGTCAAAGTCCCTGAAGTCCCCTTGCATTCGAAGTTTTGTGTGTTCTGGGTTGTAGTGCTGTGTAGTTTGGTAGAAGGAAGTCACAGAAGCCCCTTATCCACTCCCTCAAATGACATAGGAGGCCTCCAAAACAAGTGCAGGTCCCAATGTGGCTACTAAGCCAGCACAGTCTTTTTCGGGATACTACATGGCCCTGACCAGTTTCTTATTTCCTCTCTCCCAACTCTTGTGTTATTTAGACCACATTCCTCTGAATTCTCTCTCCAATGTATATTTTCTCTCCTTGTAATCTTTCTCTCCGTCTATATACCCCCTGTTCCTTATGTCTGGAGATCTTCACACCGGTGACAAAGGTGCTCGAAGAGAAATGTATCCTTTGTGCTTGACCTTGCCCATTGCCCACCTTCCTTCTCACTGGTCCAGCCAAGATTCAGCCCTAACTGACTGGTTTCTATGTTCCAAACAAGTTCCTCATGTGTGAATCTCATGACCCTGATGAAGGAGGATGTAAGCACTTCTGAAATCTTGGTAAACTTCCATCAGACTACACAGCATTACAAATGAGAAGACATGTCATCTTCATTATTGTTGTCATGATAATCTGAAATCCTACTTCCTGTACATTCCTTTATGATTCTGTCTGACAGATATATAACACTTAAAAGCTCTTGTGAGCAGGTCATCAAGTAAATCTGCAATCATGATGCAAAGTTTAATATTCTTCAGCCTGTCACATTTCTTGAGAACCTTGACTGGTTGATTCCTATTACTGCAACAAATTTAGAGATCTTGACACGCAAGAACCTGATTCGCAAGATGCTGGCACAGAAGGTTTTGTTTGATGTTATTCCCTGGAAGTACGCTAGAATACTACCAACAGGAGTGCTGATGATGTGTGGAAACAGCTACAGTGAGGCCTGGTTGAAGCTGTCAAACATTTTAGGTGCTAGCTGTTGTTGGGGGGAAGGGGACGGGGGCAGGTTAGCCAAAGGCTGTGAGGCAGCAGCACTGCGTCGTAATAAATGGAGTTGCCCACAAGGACTAAAAACTTGGACGAAGCATCAACTCCATCCAACTCAACAAACCAACAATGGATAGTGACAAAGAAGCAAAGTCTGTGTTGAGAATAATTCTTTTTATGATGTAACCGACAAGCATGGGACCTGGTGGCCCTGGTAATTCTCTGCCACATATCCCAGAAATTTGGGACAATTATACATTATTTTAGTGTTATGCAGAAAATTGTTTTATGATGATATTATGCTGTGGGACTATCATTTACATGGCTGATCTGGACTTGTAGATAGGTAAATTTTTTCCATTCCCTTATTTTGGAACATTTGAATAAATACTATTAGGGCAATAACACCCCCCATTTGACAGGTAAGTATTAGCCTAACTTCAAAATTATGGAGACTATTCAGACCAAGTATCACCACTCTCATGTAGAGACTATAGACAACATATTTAACAAACAATACTTCAAATAAGTTTCTTGTAGAATGCTATAATAGCCAGTAACATGTAATAATCACTAATTTTATGTATAATTAAAATTCTTTACAACCCTCAACAGGGTGATCATCACCTTAAAGATGAAGGTGGTTAGCTTGTCTGCAATATTAGTCAATGTCTACCAAACTACAAGGTGCATCATCCCAGAAAACAATCATCTTCATACTCATCACCAAGAGATTCTAATATCTTGCCATTTGGGAACTTCATTATAAGTGAATTCTGATGTTAAAAATTCAATACTTCTTTCAAAAAAATTGTGTGGACATGGACACTTGTGCATTAATATTAAGAACAGTCAGAACACCAGTAAAGCAAGATTCATTAACATATGAAGTCTTTATTTGAGAATATAAATAAACAACAAATTGTACAAATTCTTTCACTGATCTATTTTCCAGACAACTTGATCACAAAGAGTATATATAGTAGAGTCCTCATTATCTGACCTTTGGTTATCCAATTTTCCATTTTATCCGATGTGCCATTTCGGAATGCTCTATTTTATCAACAGTCAACTCAGCATGCACTGAAATGAATTGCAATCCTCCACCACAAACCTTCTACATTTAATGTACTCTGTTACTGCAGATGTACTACTGCTCTGGCACTGGTGTGACCTTGCCACAAACAAAAGGAAGGAGACTCAGAAGCAAATACACATCACTAATTTCTACTAAAAACAAACTTTCATGTACAAATTTATATTATGTTAAATACTATTTTTATTTGTAAGAATTTTTTATTTGATGCTATAATGTATTTTCTTCACATTTTAATAATATTGTAAGCTAAGCTACAAACTGAATTCATGTTTTTATTAGTCTTTCACATTACCCTACATTTTCATTTACCCCACAGTCCTTTGGTCCCATTTATGTCAGATAATCGAAACTGTACTGTATTTTGTCACACATTATTAGTGGCTTTTTTGATGTGTTTTCAACAGAGTTTTAGACACAAAACCCTTGTTACAGAGTTGGCACCGGTATGGTCTCTGCCCTGTGTGATAACGTTTGTGCACAACCAGAGTTGGTCGCTGAGTGAATGACTTGCCACACTGGTCACACCTGTAGGGTTTCTCCCCAGTGTGTGTGCGCTGGTGGATGCGCAGATTTCCTCGATTTCTAAATCCCTTACCGCAAGAATCACATACAAACGGTTTCTCACCAGTATGAATACGTCTGTGACACTGTAGAGATGAATTGCTTGTGAGTGCCTTCCCACAAATGTCACAAAGAAATGCTTGATTCTCACCTGTGTGAGAACTCACATGTAACAATAGTGACTTCTTGTATGAAAACACTTTGCCACAAGATTCACATTCATAGTGCCTACTTAGACTAGCTCTACCATCTCTCTGAAAGTCAGGATGTTGGGTTCTCTGATGGGTCGTTAAGTAATGCTTATAGATGAAAGCCTTTCCACACACATCACATTGGAAAGGACGCTCCCCAGTGTGCACATTTTTGTGACCCTGTAACTCTGAGTTTGTGTAAAATCCCTTACCACAAACTTCACAATGTAACCTGAATTCCATAATATGTCTCTTGTGATGAATTTCCAAATTTGCTTTATACATAGTTGCATAGCCACATATATTGCATATGTGATTCTTGACACCTGTATGTACCTTCTTATGAGCAGAAAGCTCAAATGAGCGCTTATAAGTTTTGCTGCATATGTTGCACATGTATGGACGGTCTTTGGTGTGTGTCTTCATGTGCTTCTTTAGCAGTTTTGTTGTCATGCATATCTTGCTGCACACCTCACACTCAATAAATCTGGGAGCTGTATGTGTCCTCATGTGGAAACTGAGATTAGTTTCTGCAGTGAATGCCTTTTCACATATAACACACAAGTAAGGCTTAACTCTTGTGTGAATTTTCTTGTGGACAAGCATTTGCC